GAGATTGACTTTTGGCTATAGTAATGTCATGGTCTCATTTTGAGAAGTGGCTGCAGATAAGAGGCAAGAAAGCACTCTTGCTGAGAGAAGAAGGCTGTTTGAAACTAACGTGTTGTAGAGAGTCCTAAATGTTGATGAAATCAGGACTCTTGTATTTTCAGATCCTTACTTGAATTATAAACTGGTCAGTGATTCAGTTTTGAAATTTGCAGGGCAGGGGTTAGACATTGTTCTTTTAGGAAACTTGTTGCTGTTGTGTTTGCTTCTGAATAGTGATGGCATTATTATTTTGAATTGTAGTTACAAGTTTATTATGTGCATTATTGAACATAGAAGTTTTAAGAAGGTATCTAAGGGATATATTTGTTTCTCTTTTTATTATGAGTGAATGTAAATGTATTATAGTTATATGAGAATTCGCTTCATCTTGCTCAAATTATCCAGAAGTGAGAAACAGGACTATTAGTTAAATGCATGAAATTTTAATATTATAGCTGTAGCCCAGGCTGGAGTGCAGTGGCACCATCTCGGCTCACTGCAAGCTCTACCTCCCGGGTTCACGCCATTCTCCTGCCTCAGCCTCCCCAGTAGCTGGGACTGCAGGCGCCCACCACCGCGCCTGGCTAATTTTTTTGTATTTTTAGTAGAGACGGGGTTTCACCGTGTTAGCCAGGATGGTCTTGATCTCCTGACCTCGTGATCTGCCCGTCTTGGCCTCCCAAAGTGCTGGGATTACAGGCGTGAGCCACCACGCCTGGCCAACCAATGTTATTAATTATATTCATGAAAAAAAAAAGCCCATATATATATATACACACCCATACGTATATACATATATGCACACATACCTCCCTCCATTTTTGTACAGATCATGGCTGATTATAGACTACTTTTGCATTTTGCTTTTTCTTTTCCTTTTTTTGAGACGGAGTGTCACTCTTGTTGCCCAGGCTGGAGTGCAATGGCATGATCTCGGCTCACTGCAACCTCCATCTCCCAGGTTCAAGTGATTCTTCTGCCTCAGCCTCCCAAGTAGCTAGGATTACAGGCATGCACCACCATGCCTGGCTAATTTTGTATTTTTAGTAGAGATGGGGTTTCTTCATGTTGGTCAGGCTGGTCTTGAAATCCTGACCTCAGGTGATCCGCCCACCTTGGCCTCCCAAAGTGTTGGGTTTACAGGCATTAGCCACTGTGCCCAGCCGCATTTTGCTTTTTTGAAACTTAGTATATCTTGGAAATCATTCTACGTCAGTACATTAAAGACTTCCTCCTTTTTTTTTAATGAATAGTATGACTGAATAGTACGCTGTTGCATGGCATATCATGATTTCCTGAGTCCTCTATTGATGAACATTTAGTTTTATCTAATCTTTTGCTTTTATAAACAATGCTGCAAAGAATAATTCTATAATATATTATTTTTGCACATATAGGAATAAATTCCCAGAAGTTCGACATTTTGGGTTAAAAGTTATGTGCCTTAACATTGATATAAATAGATATTAGATATTCCCAGATTATTCACCTTGGAAGTTTTAATGAAATTTAGTGTGCAATATAGATACGTTTTTGTTTGTTTGTTTGTTTTTTGAGACAAAGCTCTATCGCCCAGGCTAGAGTACAGTGGCACCATCTTGGCTCATTGTAACCTCTGCCTCCTGGGCTCAAACCATTCCCCCATCTCAGCCTCCCAGGTAGGTGGGACTACAAGTGCATACTACCATGCCTGGCTGATTTTAATATTGTTTATTTTATTTATTTATTTAATTTAATTTTATTTGTTTTGAGATGGGATCTTCCTCTGTTGCCTGGGCTGGAGTGCAGTATCGTGATCTCGGCTCACTGCAGCCTCTGCCTCCAGGGTTCAAACAGTTCTCCCACCTCAGCCTCCCGAGTAGCTGGGATTACATGGGCATGCCACTACACCTGGCTAATTTTTGCATTTTTACTGGAGACAAGGTTTCACCATGTTGACCAGCCTGGTCTGTAACTGTTGACCTCAGGTGATCCACCCGCCTCGGCCTCCCAAAGTGCTGAGATTACAGGTGTGAGCCACTGTGTCCGGCCTGATTTTTGTATTTTTTGTAGAGCTGGTGTCTCAGTATGTAGCCCAGGCTGTTCTCAAACTCATCAGCTCAAGTGATCCTCCCACCTTGGCCTCCCAAAGTGCTGGGATTACAGGTGTCAGCCACTGTGCCCGGCCTGCGACATGTATTTTAAAAATACATTTAAAAAATGTAATTTCAGGCCTGGCGTAGTGACTCATGCCTGTAATCCCAGCACTTTGGGAGGTTGAGGTGGGCAGATCACGTGGTCAAGAGATTGAGACCATCCTGGCTAACATGGTGAAACCCCGTCTCTACTAAAAATACAAAAATTATCTGGGCCTGGTGGCATGTGGCTGTAGTCCTAGCTACTTGGGAGGCTGAGGCAGGAGAATTGCTTGAACCCAGGAGGCGGAAGTTTCAGTAAGCCAAGATCGCAGCACCGCACTCCAGCCTGTGACAGAGCGAGACTCCATCTCAAAAAAAGTGAATAAATAAATAAATAAATAATTTCAAAATGGTGCAGAAACATGTCATGTGTCATTTTTTGAGTGAAAACATGACCATAGTTCAGTGATCAAAGGCAAATTGGTCACTCTTCTCATTTCTTTCTTTTTTTTTGAGACATAGTTTCACTCTTGTTGCCCAGGCTGGAGTGCAGTGGCAAGACTCAGCTCACTGCAACCTCTGCCTCCCGGGTTCAAGCGATTCTCCTGCCTCAGCCTCTTGAGTTGCTGGGATTACAGGCATCCACCACCATGCCTGGCTAATGTTTTTTATTTTTAGTAGAGACAGGGTTTCACCATGTTGGCCAGGCTGGTCTCAAATTCCTGACCTCAGGCAACCCACCCGCCTCGACCTCCCAAAGTGCTGGGATTATAGGCGTGAGCCACCTCGCCCGGCCTCTTCTCATTTCTTGTTTGCTTTTCTGTTTTGACTTGGCAAGAATTTTGTGACTGGACGAGGCAGGAATAAGTTTTGTTTCCTTGTAGGTGTTACCAATACTGCCTTCTAGAGATGAGTACTAGATACAGAAGATTTACTGAATAATTGCTTCTGTGTGTGTGTGTGTGTACGTGTGTGCACGTGTGTTTCTTTCTAATATGGTGATCTACCAAACTTTCTGTGGTTTTCAATACTTGTAGTAATGGATGATGATTGTGATATCAGGATTACAATTTGATTTAACTTTAAAAACAACTTTCTGGTATTTATTGGATAGATTATGATTTAACTAAAAAGAATAGGAATAGAGGCTGGGCGCAGTGGCTCATGCCTGTAATCCCAGCACTTTGGGAGGTGGAGGCAGATGGATCACTTGAGGTCAGGAGTTCGAGACCAGCCTGGCGAACATGGTGAAACCCTGTCTCTACTAAAAATGTAAAGTTAGCTGGGCATGGTAGTGTGCACCTGTAATCCCAGCTACTCAGGAGGCTGAGGCAGGAGAATAGCTTGAACCTGGGAGGTGAAGGTTGCGGTGAGCCGAGATCATGTCACTGCAGTCCAGCCTGGGTGACAAGAGGGAAAACACAGTGTTAACATTTTGGTGTGTTCCCTTCCATACATTTTCTATGCATGATGCATATAAATAAATACTTTTTAATTTTTTTTTTTTTTGAGATGGAGTTTCGCTCTTGTCACTCAAGCTAGAGTGCAGTGCCGCAGTCTTGGCTCACTGCAACCTCTGCCTGCCGGGTTCAAGTGATTCTCCTGCCTCAGTCTCTCAAGTACCTGGGATTACAGGTGCCCACCACCATGCCCAGCTAATTTTTGTATTTTTAGTAGAGACGGGGTTTCACCATTTTGGCCAGGCTGGTCTCAATTTCCTGACCTGAGGTGATCCTCTGGCCTCGGCCACCAAAAGTGCTGGGATTACAGCCGTGAGCCACCGCTCCTGGCCTAGTTTGCTTTTCTAATTGTTTTCTGGATTGCTTTTTTCACTAAAATGATTGCAGATATCTTTACAGACCAATAAGAACAGATATTTATTTATTTATTTATTTATTTATTTATTTATTGAGACGGAGTCTCACTCTGTCACCCAGGCTGGAGTGCAGTGGTGCGATCTCGGCTCACTGCAAGCTCCGCCTCTTGGGTTCATACCATTCTCCTGCGTCAGCCTCCCGAGTAGCTGGGAATACAGGTGCCCACCACCACACCCGGCTAATTTTTTGTATTTTTAGTAGAGACGGGGTTTCACAGTGTTAGCCAGGAAGGTCTCAATCTCCTGATCTCATGATCCGCCCCCCTCTGCCTCCCAAAGTACTGGGATTACAGGCTGAGCCACTGCGCCTGGCAAGAACAGATTTTTTATTATCATTCTTGGTAACTGCATGGTTTGCTGTTATTTGGATGTCCTGTAATTTATTTTCCAATTCCCTATTCATTAACATTTAGGATTATTTCATTTAAAAAGGATGACCAAAATAAAGAAAGAAAAAAAAGAATTAAAAGAAAGGATGACCAGCTGCAGTGAACAACTTGATATGTTCAGTTTACTATACCTTTTTTTTTTTTTTTTTTGAGATGGAGTCTCGCTCTGTCAGGAGCCATGGCACCCAGCCCATTTTAGCATACTTGATAAATTATTTCCTTAGATAAATTCTTAGATTTGGACTGGTTGGATCAAGAGATGTTGCCAAATTGTCCTATATATTATTACTTTTTATTTTCATCAGCAGTGCATTAAATTGTTTATTTGATTATATTCAATTACACTCCTTTTTTTTTGAGACAGGAGTTTTGTTCTGTCACCCAGGCTGGAGTGCAGTGGTGTGATCTTGACTCTGCAACCTCTGCCTCCCTAGTTCAAGCGATTCTCGTGCCACAGCATCGGGAGTAGCTGGGATGACAGGCATGCGCCACCACACCTGGCTAATGTTTTTGTGTTTTTAGTAGAGACGGGGTTTCACCATGTTGGCAAGGCTGGTCTCGAATTCCTCACCTCAAGTGATCCACGTGCCTCAGGCTCCCAAAGTGCTGGGATTACAGGTGTAAGCCATCGTGCCTGGCCTCAATTACATTCTTAAGTGACCATTTTTGAAAATGTAGGACTAGAGTGATGGTTAGGTCTTTTGATATTTTAAGGAAAACCATGTTAATGTTGAATAGGAATAAGTTTATGTTGGAAAAATATTGAGGCAATCACAACTCATTTTGGAAACCGAGCTGCTGTATGTAGTACAACCCAGTTTATACTAACATTGTTAAGGCACAGCTCTCTTTTTGCACTTTTCTTTTGGAATTTATTTTTTGTAAGTCCATAAAACATAACTATAAAAATTTCATTTTAGTAAAAGCAGTGTCTTTCTATAGCTTATCTGAGAAATATAGCAAATTTTTGTTAGGTATAAGCTTAGTAAATTACAGACTTAAAAGTATATGAGCTTGAAATATGATTGAATAGTGGTAGACAGGGTATGAAATTTCACAGTATTTCATAGTATATGAAATTGTATACAGTGTATAAAATTGCTTATTTTATAGTATATGAAATTATCTTTTCAGTAGCCTTTGTCATTGCTCAGGTGACGTTCCACATTATTTTTCCCTAACAGGTCACTTAAATTGCATTGAAAGGGTTTGAAGTAACATAATAATATCTAAATTGTCAATGAATAAATGAATCTCTAAAGCCCAAAATGAAGTTCTCTTTCTTTAGCAGACACAGAGTTCCTTGTCTTTGAAGGTTATCTATGACTGCACATTTTCCTCGTCCATCAGATTCGTACTGAGGAGTATGAATCTTGCCTAAGCAAGGTAAATATGCTTGGATGGTGAGGGACAATAAGCAAGGCCTGCATTCTCATGCTCAGGTACACCTAAGATGTAGCTTTATCTAGTGGTGCCCTTATATTTGTTTCACTGTTGTAGCCTTTCTTTTATCCATGTTTGCTAAGGAATTAGAGCCTTGCAGGAAAGCATCTTGATATACTGTGGTGGAATAGATTATTTACTTGTCTCTCTCTGCAGTGAACATGGAGCTTGTGGAGGGCAGTGCCTGGCAGATTGCCTGGTACATTAGGTACTCCATGAACTTAGGAAACTGGGACCAAGAGCCTTTTAATTTCATGTCTGTCTTTCCACTTTTTTCTTCTTTTGTTTTCTTTAACTTCTTATTTTGAAATAATTATAGGTTCACAAGCAATTGCAAAAAATGTACGGGAGTTCATGTTTACCCTTCACCCAGTTTCCCCCAATGGTTACGCATATTTTGTTGTTTCTCCTCTTTTTCTTTCCCTACATTTTCCAAGTTTTCCTCTCTTTTTCCTATTTTTGATCATGCTTTTGGCTCACCATTGGCATCTATGGGACGTCCTGAACTCTCTGAACTAAATGTTGACGATTACTGTCCTAAGCTACTTATGGGAATGCATGTGATGGTTCTTTCTCTTCATTTATTCTTTGTGGATCACTTGCTCAGTATGTGGTGCTGGGCCAGGTACTAGTTGTTCCTCTATATTCAAGCTTTTCGGCTCTTATTTTGAGAACATTAAATATGGTGCATATATCTTTCTTTTGTAGGTCTTTTTCCTAAATGATATGTATGTCTAAAGTACTCAGAGATATGTGTCTGTTTTTGGTGAGAAGAAGGAGCTGCATTTTGGTGAAAATAGCCCTGGATTTTGAGTTAGAAAGCAAAATTCAAGTCTTGGTTCTGGCCAGGCGTGGTGGCTCACATCTGTAATCCCAGTGTTTTGGGAGGCCAGAGTGGGAGAATCACTTGAGGCCAGGAGTTCAAGACCAGCATGGGCAACATAGGAAGACCACATCTCTCTAAAACAAAACAAAACAAAAAAGGCAATTCGAATTCTGCGGTTTTTGTTTCATTACTTGTTCTGTGTGACCCCAGAAGTCCACTTTGCTTCTGAATCTTTTCTCTCTGTAAATTTTATAGGCATTAATTGGTTGGTTGCGGCGGTGGCTTTCAGTATCTGGCAACTTTTTTTTGGGAGTTTCGAGACGGGTGGATCAGAAGGTCGAGAGGAGATCGAGACATATTCCTGGCTAACACGGTTGAATACCTTTTGTTTATAAAGATATAAATATTAGCCTGTGGTGATGGTGGCGGGGCGCTCTGTAGTGTCTCTCCATCTACTTCCGGAGGCTGAGGCTAGCTGACAATGGCGTGAATCTGGGAGGGAGCCTTGCAGTGAGCTCTGATGATCTTTGCACTACTGTCTATTCTTTTTTTCCTCAGCTTGTGTGCTTCACAGAGCAATGACTCCGTCTCAACAAAAAAAAACACAAAAAAAAAAAAACAAAATAGGCATTTTATTAATTAGTATATCTTGACAGATTTTGTAGGGGAATAGAGACAAGTAGTTCATTTTGTATGTATTCACTTAACAACATTGGAAGGTACTGCTCGAAATATGAAGTATTTGCTACGTGGGTTACTTTATTGATGAACGATGAAAAGGAAGTTTTAAAAGATTGGTGTGTTAATTATTTATAGCTTGACTTCTTTATGCGGTAAACACAAGAAAGACTTCTCTTGTTTTTTGCACAACTCCTCATCCTTCTTACACCTTCTATCTTCACATTAATACCCAGGACTTAAATAGAGTTTTGTTTTTTTTCAACTGGGTATAACCTAGCTCCCCTCCGGGAAATTGGGATGGCCATTGTCATGTTTTTTTCTGTCTATTACTGTTTCCAATTTATGACATATCAGATTTTCTCTTTTCTCTCTCTCCTCTTCTCGTTTTTTTTTTTTTTGAGATATGAGTTCGCTCTGTCATCCAGACTGCGAGATGCTATGTGGTGCCCAGTGCTCGAGCTCACTGCAACCTCCTGCCGTCCTGGTTGTTCAAGCTGATTTTCTCTTGCCTCAGCTCCTGAGTAAGCTGGGCACTGTAAGCACGTGCTACCTTTTTTTTACTTGCCTCATGCTAATTTTTGTATTTTTAGTAAGTAGATGAGGTTTCACCGTTCATGTTGAGGTCTTCAGGATTTCATCTTCTTCGCCTTGGCCTTCCAACATTTTGTTTTGTTTTTCGTTTGTTTTTTTGTTATATTGTGCTAGGATTCAGTTGGTTGAGCACCGGGCCTGGCTTGTTCTCTATATTTTTTTATTCAATTTCTATAGTCTGGGGATTTTTCTGTTTCGTTGAACTTCTTAAGATAAATCTGTCAAGCAGGAGCTGGGCCGCGGTGGCTCATGCCTGTAATATGTAGCACTTTTGGAGCTGCTGAGGTGGGCGGAATCACTCTGAGATCTAGGAGTTCGAATGACCAGCCTGGCCAAGCATGGTGATATACCCTGTCCTCTAACTTTGAAACATACAAAAAAAATTATACCATATGGTCCTGGTGGTTTGGGTGCTCTTCTGTAATCCTAGCTAACTTGGGTAGGCTGAGGCAAGGTTATGAATCCTGCTTGAACTTGGGAGGCGGGGGTTGCCGTTGTAGCCGCGATGATTTTGTGCCTACTGTAATTTCTCCAGCCTGGATGAAGTTGCGATGACTTTTCTCTTCTAATAAAAATAAAAATAAAAAAAAGATAAGAAATGAAAATTCTTTCTCATTGCCAGCTATTATGTCTGTTTCCTTGTGCTTAGTCTTTTAGTGGATTTTCACGTGTTGATACTTCAGCTTATTCATTCTCCCCCTCATCCTAGATAACATTTTTATTTCTTGAAGTGTGTAGATCTTTATCCTTTTCTTATTTTGTATATGCACGATGGAATTACTTAGTAATAGAAAGTCAATAAAATGAAAATTGTTAAAAATGTGAAGGATAACTCTGAGAATTTTTGTTTTTTTCTTTGTAAACCTGATCTAATATCTGGCAAACTTTTAAATCATTAAGGTATCTATAAAGATTTTTATAGAACACCCCTTCCAATAATAGTAGGATACACATTGTTCTGAAATACATATGGAACATTTCAGGATAGACCATATGTTATGCCATAAAACAAGCCTCAATTAATTTAAAGGATGGAAATCATACTATGTTCTCTGACCATAATGAAATGAAATTAGATATCAATAACAGAAGGAAATTTGGGAAATTCAGAATATGTGAAAATTAAACTACACAAACTGAAATCACCAATGATTCAAAGAAAAAGCCACAGGAAAATTGGAAAATACTCTGAGATGAAGACAAAATATATCATATCATGATGATGATGGTTGCAAACAATGTGAATGTACTTTATACCACCGAATTAATTGTATGTTTAAAAATAGTTAAAATGGCAAATCTTATGTATGTTTTGCCACAATTGAAAAAACAAAAACAAACAAAAAAACCCTGGGCTGGGTGCGGTGGCTCATACCTGTAATCCCAGCACTTTGGGAGGCCAAGGCAGGTGGATCACCTGAGGTCAGGAGTTCAAGACCAGCCTGGCCAACATGGCGAAACCCCATTCTACTAAAAATACAAAAAATTAGCTGGGCTGGGCATGGTGGTGGGTGCCTGTAATCCCAGCTACTTGGGAGGCTGAGGCAGGAGAATAGCTTGGACCCAGGAGGTGGAGGTTGCAGTGAGCCCAGATCACATGACTGCCCACTGCATTCCAGTCTGGGTGGCAGAGTGACACTCCATCTCAAAAAACAACAAGAAGAAGAAAAAAAACCCTGCCACTCGTTTTTCAACAATGAATATTTATTGAGGCCTACTATGCTTCATGCAAAAAACAAAGCAATGTATCATAAGCTAGGGGATACAGCAAAAGCATTTCCCAGAGGGAAATTTATAGCTATAAATGCTTGAATTAAGAAAAGAAGAAAGATGTCAAATCTGCCACCTTAAGAAACTAATAAGAACACACTAAATCCAAAGCAAGCAGAAGGAATATAATAATAAAAACTGGAATAGAAATAAATGAAATAGAGGGAAAAAAAAGTAGGGAAAATCAAACCAAAAATAGGTTCTGTGCAAAGATCAACAAAATGGACAAACCTTGAGCTAGATTAATAAATTAATAAAATGAGGAACGAAAGAAAGGACATCACTACTGACCTTACATGGAAATTAAAAAAGATTATAAGGAAATACTAGGAACCATTTTATGCCAACAAGGTAGATAACACATATGAGATGTATGCAGTCTTTGAAAGACACTACTGAAATTGACTCGAAAAGAAATAAAGTCTTTTTTGTTTGTTTGAGATGGAGTCTTGCTCTGTCACTCAGGGTGGAGTGCAGTGGTACAATGGTGGCTCACTGCAGCGTTTGCCTCCTGGGTTCAGGCAATTCTCCTGCCTCAACCTCCCCAAAAATAGAAAATCTGAATAGACCAATAAAGTAAATAGATTGAATTAACAATAAAAAAGCCCCTCCCAAAAAAGCTCGGGTCCAGATAACTTCGCATTTTGTGATTCCACCACATATTTAAAGAAGAATCAACACAAATTCTTCACACGCTCTTTCAAAATAAAGAAGAGGTGTTACTTTCCAGTTTATCCTGTGTGGACATTATTAGGCTGATACTAAAACCAGGCAAAGACATCAGAAGACAAGAAAACTACAGAACAGTATTCTTTATGGATGTAGGTGTAAAATACCTCAACAAAATACTTGCAAACTGAATATAGCAACATATCAGAAGAATTCTATACTGTAACCGAGTGGGAATTATCCCAGGAATGCAAAGTTGGCTTAATATCTGTAAATTAATGTCTATTACATGCCATGTAATAGAATAAAGGACAAGACCAACATGAGCATCTCAATAGCGGCAGGAAAAACATTTGATTAAATCCAACATTGTTTCATGATAAAAAACATTCAACAAATTAGAAAT